AATTATGAATCTGTCTATGGATTAATTCATTGATGAAGGCAGAGTCCTCATGGTCCAGTCTCCTCTCAATAATTGGATCCACCAGCTACAGACAGCTAGGAGCCTGTGTGGGACATTTCACATCCAAACCATTACAGAAGCCATCAGCTTTGGATGGTAGTGGAAGTTGTGGGCATGGATGAGATTGTCCAGGAATTGTGGGCAAGAGAAGTGGCCCCAGCCAAATTCCTGAGGAACCGATCACATTTAGGGAACATGCATGGGAAAATAACTCCTCAAAGAAATCTGAAAAGAGACTAGATAGGGAGAAATAAAAGCGAGAGAGTGTCCTTTTAAGAAAAGCTGAAGAGGGATGGTAGAGTGGCTCAAGCAGTAAAAGTGCTTGCCTAGCAAGCATGAGGCCCTGAGTTCAGAAAAAGGAAAGAAAGAAAAAAAAAAAGAAAAGCCAAAGATGGAGAGTGTTAAAAGTTGAGGAGTGTTTCATGGTGTCAGATGCTGCCAAGAAGCCAGGTTAAGATTATAATTGAGATCCATTGGGTTTAACATCAAAAGTTTGTTAATACTGGGGACAGTGGCTCAATTCTATAATCCTAACCATTTGGGAGGCTAAAATTGGGAGGATCTTGGTTCAAGACCAGCTTGGGCAAATAGTTCTCAAGACCTCCCCCCCCCATCTCCAAAATAACCAGAGCAAAATGGACTCTACGTGTGGCTCAAGAGGTAGAGCACAGTTCAAACCCCAGTCCCATCAAAAAAAAAAAAAAAAGTTTGTTGATGACCTTAATGAGAAGATTCCTGGAGTGGTCTGGACAGAGGTGATTGGAGTGGTTGAAGAGGAATGGAAGATGTGGAGGTAGAGACAATGAGTATAGAAAACTGAAGAGTCTGTGAAAAGTCCGTATAGAGCAGCAGAGAGAGGGCGGTTACATGGAAATGTGGAGTCTGCAGGAAGCTCTCTTCAAAACGGAAGAATCTTGAGACGTGTAAACACTGATGAGAAAGGCAAGAAGGAGAGAGACGCTGAAGAGAGTGAGAGAGAAATAAATATACAGGAAAGACCTTTATGACCTGTCAAGTGCTATGCAAAATCAGTAATTTATTCTTCCTTCTGAGTCAAGAGGCTCTTTGGTCCAGTGCTGTGCCTGGAGAGGGCACTTAGGAGTAGTTGGGGTGTTGAATATGGAGAAGAGCAGAGAGGATTAGAGAGCAGCTGCAGGCTCAGGCTGGGCTAGCCACGTGTGCAGACCACTGCACCATTGCCTACAGCTCCAGGGGCTTGTGGTGGTTCAGAGTTTCTATGCTGGTAGATTATCAAAACTGGCACAGGTCAGATCCTGCTGTGAGAAACAGTTCACCATGTGGAAAGTTTTTTCAGGTCTCTGAAGCAATGCTTTCTTGATACATGTAGCAAAAATTTCCTGAATTTACCTAATTCAGAATTCAAAGACCATAAATTCATTTTGACTAACAGCATCCCTCAGAACATAAAGAACTGGGGGTTTCTTTCCTCAGTGTGGGGTCACTTTTGTAGGAACATCCAGCTCCCCCTACAGTTTGTTATCCAATAGGATTCAGTTCTTTGCCAAGCTCTTGCTATGGGGACATGAGTTATAAATAAACAAACACTAGCCTGGAACGTTATGGTCATTCTGCCCAGGCAGGCTCCCAGCTTTGTGATCACTGTCAGACACCAGCTTTGGCTTCACAGTACATCCTGCTGATGAAGGTTCTGAATGCTAATTGTATTTAAGCCCTCTTCGTGTTTTGCTCCTGTTCATCCAAGAGTTCCAGTTAAAGATGTCTGAACACAGAGCAGTCTGTTTAGGTGTTGGAGAAATTATACATAGAAAAAAATTTGCCACACCTAGGTCACTGGAGGTGACCTAACTTTCTTCTCAAATCTTTGGAGGTATCTACTCTTTAAGCAGAGACAGCCCAGGAGGCGGGTGATTAGGTGATTATTTTGGTACTTTCTGTCATTGTATTCTGCTTTTTTTTTTTTTGCTGGTGGTGGTAGTAGTACTGGAGTTTGAACTCAGGGCCTTGTGCTTGCTAGGCAAGTGCTCTTACCACTTGAATTTGAGCCATACCCCCAACCCTCTTTTTTTCCTGTAGTTATTTTTCGGGTAGGGTAGGTTTTCAGCCACAGTTCCCATGTAGCTGGGATGACAGGCGTATGCCTCCACACCCAGCTTATTGGTTGAGATTGGGGTCTCTGGAGTCTAGCTAACTTTTTCCTTAGGCTGGTCTTGAGCTGTGGTCCTCCTGATCTCTGCTTCCCAAGTAGGTTGGGATTATGGCCATGAGCAACTATACCTGTATATGTATTCTGCTTTTTTATTTTGGTGTGTTTTGCCACTGATTTTGAGTGTACCGTTGTAACTGTTTTCTATAGTATTATTTATGTTTTATTGACACACTGTGATTATTATTATTATTATTTGCAGTAATAGGATAGAATGCAAGGCTCTGCTCATGCTAGGCAAGCACTCTACCACTGATGTGTACCCTTAGCCCTACTGTAATTACTTCTTTAAAATATGACAACTTAGTCAGGTGTCATAGCATGTGCTTGTAAGCTCAGCACTTGGGAGGCTGAGGCAGGAGGATGGCAAGTACGAATTCAACTTGGGCTATAGGATGTGAGGGCGATCTTCCTATGATATCTGTCACCCCATTGATCACCAGTGTTGATTCAACTGATCTGGCTGACTAGGCGGGCGTTCCCTTCCTCCCTCACCACTACACGTGCATCCCTCCTGAGCTGCATACTCAGTCAAAGAGGACGACCATCCCCGACAGAGGACACCCATTGTGTAGAGTTTAAGTTCATTCAGGACAGATTACTTCTTTTGAATTTGATCTATAATCTTATGGTGATGAATAATTTTACCAACAGAAATTTGTTTTAAGATAAAATTTTTTTGGAATGTATCTCATTAATAGAATTCAGTTATTCAAAGCAATAGAAACTTCCTGAGGACAAGGCCCATGGCTAGGTGCTAGAGAAACAGATAAAAATTTAATACTAGCTCCATCCTCAGGGTATTTACTGTTCAGGTGGAATTTTGGAAATGCAAGTTAAATGAAATTCCCTGGGCAAATAAGTTTGACCATCTCTAGCCATTTAGAGATTATCATTGTTTACAAATAGGTTATGGGGCTAGAAATCAAACCCAGGGCTTTCTGCATGCTAGGCAAGCGCTCTACCACTTGCTACATCCCCAGACTTCTAGGTATGTATGTTTAACCCAGGTTTCACAGAAGTTGTGTGTGTGTGTGTTCTTTTTTGCAATCTGGGGGTTGAATTTAGGGTGTCATGCATGCTAAGCACATACCCTACCATTGAGCTACACCCCAGTCCCTAAACATTTCTTTACATCCTGAGAAACCCTCGATGCAGCATGGTCTATTAGGATTTTCTACAGTAAGAGAAATGGTCTCTATGTCTGTCTGTGCTGTCCAACAAAGTGGCCACCAGCACTTGAAATGAATCTTGTAAGACTGAGGAACTGAGTTTTTATTTTTTAAAGCATTATTTATTTATTTTTGGTACATTTCCAGGCAAGCACTATACCATTGAGCTACATCTCCAACTCCAGGAACCAAATTTTTCTTCTTATTTAACTATAAATTTACATAGACACACGTGACTAGTGATTTCTCCATAGCTACTTTGGGAAATGTCGATCTAAGGGTATGTTTTTATTTATTTGTTCTATAAGCATCAAGAATGTGGTAGTTACTGAAAAAAAGCATCCTTATCTTTGAGGACCTCCTGATTGGGTGGGGGCAGCAGATACCTTCTATTCAGTGCAGAAGGAGACGTTTGCCTCTAGTTACTGCCCAAATAAGACCACTGTCCTTTTTTATTTTCTGTAGTAGAGACTAAATCCAGGGCTATGTGCATGTTAGGCAAGTGCTGTACCACTAAGTCACATCCTTAGCATTTTTTTACTTTTATTTAATTAAAAAAAATTTTTTTTGATTCAGGATTTTGCTGTGTTCCATAGGCTGGCCTTTGAGTTGTGGGCTCAAGTTATCCTCTAGCTTAGCCTCCCCAGTACCTGGGACTAAATGGGGTGCCACCAGGTCCAGCAAGATCATTGTTTTTTGTTTTCCTTTTTTTTTGAGGAAGGGGCGGTGAAGGGGAAGGGTGAGGGGATCAAACTTAAGGTCTTGTGTATGTTAGGCAAGTTCTCTTGTCACTGAGCTTACCCCCCGCCAAGATCACTCTTCTTGACAGAGGTTATAGGAAGAGGACTGGGGTTATAGCTCAGTGATCATGCTCTCGCCTAGTATGTGCAAAGGCCTGAGTTCCATCCCTAGCACCATAAAAAAAAAAAGGTTATAGAAGTAAAGTAATATTGCCTCCACTCTTTTTTGTTTATTTGTTTGGTGGGACTGGGGTTTGAATTCAGGGGTTCGAGTTTGCAAAGCAGACACTCTACTGCTTGAGTCACATCTCCGGTCCATTTTGCTCTGGTTATTTTGGAGATGGGATCTCAAGAATTGTTTGCCTGGGCCAGCCTCAAACCTCTTTGTTCCCGCTCTCACCCTCCCAAGAGGTGCCACTGGTGCTCAGCATCGCTTCCACTCTTGATGGTTTTTCTGCCCACCAGTGGTCAATTAAACCTTGCTTATTGCGAATACCAAGTAGTATATGAACATGAGACATGGCAGTTTGACTATCCCCATGATCATCTCAGTAGGCTTATGCTCATGATACAATTTGCAGTGAGTCTGATAGAAGCAGGAATAAGGACAACGCATAGCATTGCCACTTTTTTTTTTTTTTGGTGGTACTCAGAGCCCTTAGCTTGCTAGGCAGTGCTCTACCACTTGAGCCACGCCCCAGCCCACTCACATATCTTTTAATGAGTTGAGTAGGCCTCTAGGGGGATTGAGGTTTCAGAACTGCAGCAACTTTAAGCATCAGTCTTTGTTCCTCTCAAGTAGGAGACTACTGTCTGAATGCTGTCTTTCTTCTTTCTCTCTAGATGGTGTCCTACTCTTCTGTCCTCACAGCTATCAGTAAGGTATGATCATAACCACTCATAAGCGAGATTGGGGTGGAGGGGAGCAAGGGACAGAGCTATGGTAGTGATGGACAAGGCCCACTTCTTTGACCACTCTGGTTATGTGATGTCTGAGCCTGAACAGGCAGCACACAATGTTGTTGGCATTGGTGGCCTCCCTCCTATGTGAGGAGGTCCTGGGAAATGGAGATTGGCAATTAGGAGCCAGTTTCTGTATGGAAAGGATGCTGAGTCTGAAGCCTGAGGTTGGAGGGCAGAGAAGCAGAAGCCCTGAACATACCATCTGCTGCATGTGTGAGACCCGGGGGTTGATGGACATTCTGGAGCCTCTGTACTCTTCTTTCTAGTTTGATGACTTTTCCCGGGACCTGTGTGTACAGGCTTTGCTGGATATCATGGACATGTTTTGTGACCGACTAAGGTAAGAGCTGGTGCATGGGCTCAGAACATTCCAGCATTCTGTCAGTGCAGAGGAGAAGCTCCTAGCTCATAGACTGCAACCAACTCTGTGGGTTCCCACATTTCTACCACCTGCCCATTCCCATCTTTTCTATTTATTCTCTCAGAACAAAATGCCTTTTCTCTACTTCAAATAACTCATTTGATCCTGTCCAGTGGAAGCCTGCTGGGCTAAGTGTCTTCCCCAGGACTTTGCTAGCTTTCTAAACCTATTCCCTAGTAGAGGAGTGCCAGACACTTGGGAACATTGGCTTAGCCCAAATTTCAGCCTTTGGACCAGAGACAAGATTTTGCATCCTTTCCTGTAGCTGTCATGGCAAAGCAGAGGAGTGCATCGGGCTGTGCCGGGCTCTTCTCAGCGCCCTCCACTGGTTGCTGCGATGCACGGCGGCCTTTGCAGAACGGCTCCAGGAAGGACTGGAGGCAGGCACTCCAGCCACTGGGGAGAAACAGCTTGCCATGTGCCTGCAGTGCCTGGAGAAGACCCTCAGCAGTACCAAGAACCGAGCCCTACTGCACATCGCCAAACTAGAGGAGGCCTGTATGTTCCCTGACTTCCCTGTGCCCCGCCTGCTGCTGCTTCCATTGCCGGTCCTTTGAGAGGGAAAGGCAGGATGCCATCCCACTTTTTTCCAGGAGAATCTGAAACCATCCCACTTCCTTTTCTCTCTCCCATAAGCATTGCATACATCCCAGGGACTTGGGCAGGGTGGCACCCGAACCAATCAACTAACAGGTATTTACTGAGCATTGTTGTATGCCCAGCTCTGTGCCAGGTTTTGGGGGTGTGGAGGGGGACTACCAAAGGAGCATGTAGCAGGGTCTCTTCCCTCAATAAGCACACACATTAGTTGGGAGCAAGAATAGTATGCCATATATATGGAGCAAATTAGAGGACAAAAACAAGCACACCATTTATCCTTGTTTGTCTCCACATTACTCATCCATAAGCAGTGACTTTTGAATTTGAGTGTGACCTGAAATGTCCCTTTAAACTTGGTACTTGTTTGCTGTCAGGCCTGTGTGCCATCTACCTCTTGACTCAAGTTTTTTAAGTATTGGAACTTTCCAGAACTTAAGAACAGATAGATCTATGGGAGGGAAGTCTTCCAACAGTGGGGTCCTAAGGCCACTGTGTTGTTTGGGCTGTGGTGGCTAGGACCACCTAAGCAACTCTTGTTTTCCAGTGATAAAAACATTAGAGGGGTGACACTCAAGTCTTCAGGGCCGGGTTGGAGAGCTTATTAGAGAATTAGTCTATTATTTCTTTGTATATGTTTTATTGTTTGAGAAAAGTCCAGAAAGAATCACCATGTCAAAATGTGTTTGCTGACAGTTTCTTATCTATTCTTATCTATTTATTATAGATAAATAGTTAATTTTAATGGCTCTCAGCTCTTGTCTTCCCCCCTGGCCTGCATGCTATATGGAGATTAATGGGGTTTTTGGTGCCATTATTCATCATTTGACCCTCTACAATTGTAACTAGAATAAGTGAATTATAATTAAGTTTTTAAATATGTGGTATAGATCATGTGTGTGGGCATTTAAGAGAGGTACCAGTTGGTCAAGCTGTTAAAGGAGCTGAGACTTGAAGGATGTGTTGGTGAGGCATTTCAGAAGTGGAAAGCAGTGAGGGCAAGCCAGGATGAGGGTTGGGTGGTGGTTAGGAACTCAGCTTGCCTAGAGTAGAAGTGACTGTTGTGAGACTGGCCTTTCAGATTGGCCTGATCCTGAAGTGATTTGTAACCGCTGTCCCTTTCCAGCTGCTGGGCTCCAGCCTCCCCATGCTTCTCTCATCTGCTGCTTGTGTGTGCCCACCTGGTCTTTAAAGTCAGTTGTGTGTGGCCCATAAAAGGCCTTTGGAAATAGTTTCTAGGGGTTCTGGCTCTTGGTGCTTATTCCCCTTTGAGAAACAGTGCATGCTGCCCTCAGGGCACTGGCCTCTACGTCTTCCTCCAGGGAAGCCTCTCTGCGTGGGTTCCTGGGCCCAAGGGATACCACAATCAAGGAGTTTGGGGCCATGCTCTACCTCTCCTCTGTTTCCCATCATGTTTTTACTTTCCTTCTCTTCATCAGCCTCCTGGACAGCTATTGAGCATTCACTCTTGAAGCTTGGGGAGATCCTGGCCAATCTCAGCAACACCCAACTCCGGAGCCAGGCTGAGCAGTGTGGCACACTCATTAGGAGGTACCCAGCTTCCAGAGGGAGGTGGCAAAAGGAGAGAAAGGGTGTTGTGGGAACATGTGGTACCTGGTCTGTCCCCTCTGCTTTTGCTGTCACTTCTCAACACTGCCCCCATATATCTGTCCCCTCAGTATCCCCACGATGCTGTCTGTGCACTCAGAGCAGCTGCATAAAACCGGCTTCCCTACTGTCCATGCGCTGGTCTTGCTCGAGGGCACCATGAACCTGACAGGCGAGACACAGCCCCTAGTGGAGCAGCTGATGATGGTGAAGCGCATGCAGGTAGGACAGGCTGAGTGGCTCCTTTCCCCAAGGTGGGGCAGGCAGAAGGATTCTTGTACTTCTTCCCTGGTGGAATGTGGATGTCACTTGTGCATAGTTGTGTCATTTGGCCTTACATCCCTGGTTCTCAGCACTAGAGTTGGGAAGTGACTCTGCTGTGCAGTCGTTGACCCAAGCTTAGTCCCTGGAGCCTGTGGAAGAATGAAGGGATGTGGGGCACCATCTCATGCTTCTCTCTTGGACTTTCCACAGCATATTCCTACTCCACTGTTTGTCCTGGAGATCTGGAAAGCTTGCTTCGTGGGGCTCATTGAGTCTCCTGAGGGGACACAGGAGCTCAAGTGGACAGCTTTCACTTACCTCAAGGTACATGGAGACATGGGAGCAACAGAGAGCCAGTCTAGGGGCAGTTCTCAGGAGAAGCATTGACAAACTGAACCTTTGCCCTGTGTGTTCTCCTGCTGGCATTGGGCCCAGCTTGCCGAGTCTCTAGAAAAAGTTCCAATCATTCGTTTTCTGTGAAAGTTCCAGGGCTCTATTGTTTCTTCCTAGAAGGTGCTGTTCAGCTTGTTGTCAGCCAGATTGGTGCAGGACAGCAGCAGGAACCAGGAAAAGTGGCTCTGGTCTCCTTGAACTGGCTTCCACTTCGCTTATGGCTTTTCCTTCTTGAGTCAGTAGAAGTGAGAGGTTCTTGTGTTCTGTAGGCCAAGGGATATCAGGTGCTTTGGTGGCCATGGGCTTTCTGATTGGACTCTAAGGGAGAAGGCTGGCATGTTCCTGTCTCTATTCCCAGAGCAAGAATAGGAGGTCACAGTGATGGGTGAAAGAGAAAAGAACTTGATCTTTCTATTTTTCCTCTTACTTCACTCCATAGATTCCACAGGTTTTGGTGAAGTTGAAGGAATATTCTCATGGGGACAAGGTAAGTTGGAAAAATGAGATGAGGGCTTGAGAGTAGGTAAGGATATTTCTGCCCTGGAGAAACAATGGCAAGGGAAGATTCCATTAGATGCTAGCTGGGCAGTAGTGTATTCTTGTGCCTGGGAGAAGGCTAGAACCATGTGTATGTGCCTGAACACCTAGGGACATCTTTGTACACACACACACACACACATAGGCTCCAGACAAGGCTGGTCCCTCTAATAGACAAAGTTACTGACAATGATTGGGCAGAATGGCCACATGGGAAACAGGGATGCCTCAAATATGACCCTACTCAGTTACTAGGGGCTAGTGGTGGACACAGTTGACTTTAGGCTCTCATCCCCACAAGGGTATCCTTGTAAGCCTGCATTGTAGGCTGTGGGAGGTCTGGACAGCCTGGAACCCAGGTGGAAGCTTCTGACTCTCTGTAGGACTTCACGGAGGATGTCAACTGTGCTTTTGAATTCTTGCTGAAGCTTACACCCTTGTTGGACAAAGCCGACCAGCGCTGCAAGTATGAATTCCCCTGCTTACCTCTGCTCCACTGGAAGGTGTTCTGGACCCTTCTCCTGCTCCCTGTGCTAGATGAGCTGAGGAGACTTTCCTTGTTGGCTTCCCTTGGCAGGGGCCAGAGACAGCAAGACCGTGTTGCCCAGAGACCCCTGCTTTCCCTTGGGCACTCCAATTGTCTTTATCCTAAACAGGGTTGGAGACTGGACAGGAATCATTTTGCCCATTCCTCAATGCTCTTTGTGTTCACTTCCCTTTTCCTTGTTTTTTCTCATAGCTGTGACTGTACAAACTTCCTCCTCCAAGAATGTAACAAGCAAGGGCTTCTGTCTGAAGCCAATTTTGCCAATCTTGTGGCCAAGCGGTAAGTGTAAGGCCACTTGGGCCCCTTTATTGCCCTGTCTTGTGCCCAACTGGCTGCTGGTGGTGCCTTTTCCCCTTCCTGTTTGAAGTCTGGGTTACAAGTGACTGGGACAATGCCTCATGATACAGGGAACAAAAGGGAAAAGCAGACACTGACTTCATCAGACCAGAGTGTTATACTCCTAGTTGCTGCTCTTTAACTTACACTTCTTTGTGATCAAAGTAAAAATCCTGTCTTTTAATCTCTCTTTTTTGGGAGGGGTTGCTGGGGTTCAAACTCAGGGCCTTATGCATACTAGGCAAGTGCTGTACCACTGAGCTACACACTAAGCCCCCAAAATTTCCTGCACACTTTCCACTCTTCTCTAAATCTCTGCTTCTGAGATTGAACTAGGGGTATCTCATGAATTTCTCTTTATTCTGCTTCCTTCTCTTGGCCAACTGCTTATGGCCATAGTGCAGCAGACCGGGACCCAGAGCTAAAATCATCAGAAAATGCCAACATCCAGCCCAATCCCGGGTTGATCCTCCGGGCAGAGCCCACTGTCACAAACATCCTCAAGGTGAGCCACCAGAGCTTTCTTCTTTCCAGTTTTCCTCTACTTTCAGATAAATAAACAGGACCTGTAGACCTCTCTTTTTTCTGTACATAATGTTTGGGGAGTAAAGGGGGAAGACAAGGACAGCTTCCATCAAAAGCTGACACAGACTTCATGTCCTAGGCACTGTGGTAGATGTCTTCACAGACACTGACTCATGAGGACATAGTAGCGAAGCTCCTAGCCAGGGCCGTGGTCATCTCCACCACCATTGTGCCAGTGTAGTTGAGAGGGATGGATTTTAGAGAAAGGATAGATTTTAGTTATGGTTTTCCAGATCAGAGACAGAAAGATGTCAATTAAATTGCATAGTATGGTATGCCAGTTAATGGAGACATATAGAGAGAAAGTGTGGCTAGGCTTATCTGGGAGGTTCTTCAGTGTTCTTTAGGACTTAATTTCCTCCCTTTTCCCCAGACGATGGATGCAGACCACTCCAAGTCCCCAGAGGGATTGCTGGGAGTCCTGGGACACATGCTGTCCGGGAAGAGCCTGGACTTACTGCTGGCTGCTGCTGCCGCCACCGGGAAACTTAAATCCTTTGCCCGGAAATTCATCAAGTGAGAAAAGCTGAGCCTGACCTTGGGGGGAAGTCCATGTCTGAAGGGAGGAGGGGGCAGCAGAGTGAGAGTTGAGGTGACTAGGTCTGGGTTTCCCTTGAGATGTACAAGCCAAGCTCAGCATCCTAACTAGAGACCTTTGTGGAAGGGCTGGTTCTCTCTCTCCTTTTTTTTTTTTTTTGACAGTCTTGAAGTTTGAATTCAGAACTCATGCTTGCTAGACAAACATTCTACCACTTGAGCCACTCTGCCATCCCTTTTTTGTGTTTGACTTTTTTTTTTTTTAATACCACATTTCTTTATTTGAAGGAATGGTATAAATTAAATAACCTAAGTGGATGTTTTGGTACAACTTACAAGAAAAGGCAAAGGTAACCCCAACATGCCAGAAGTCACTGTTGCTTTGGGGAAGTCAGCCTAAGTCTCTGCCTCCCAAGTAGCTAGGATTATAGGCGTCAGTCTCTTTCCTCTTTCCTCTTCAGCTGAGAATGGAGTCGAGAAGGGTAATAAAATGAGGAGGCATTGAACAGTCAACATGGAGAAATTTTGTTTGCCAAGTTTTTTTTTTTTTTTAATGGGACTAGGGTTTATGTCTGCCCAGTTTTTAACAAGGGTCTTGCTACAGGGCATAGTAGTACATGCCTGTAATTCTAGTAATCCTAGCACTCAGGAGATGGAAGTAGGAGGATCTTGAATTCAAGGCCAGCCTGGGCTACATAGGAGATCCTGTCTTAAAAAAAAAACTAAGCAGAGGGCTTTTAAATTCTGTTGCCATTTTGGGTTGACTTGTTATTTGACATGTAGAACATTGTTTCATTCAATGATCCATTCTGTAAGCCTTAGTAATCTTTTTTTTTAGACAGCTATGAAGCCTAGGCTGGCCTCAAACTTGAGACTCTCCTACCTCAGCTTTACAAGTGCTGGGATTATAGATGTATACATCATGTCCAGCAGAAATCTTGTGTGTGTGTGTGGTACTAGGGTTTGAATTCAGGGTTTATGATTGCTAGGTAGGCTCTCTACCACTTGAGCCACTCTGCCAGCCCAGAAATCTTTTAATAATAGAAATAATTATTTTTTTCTCTAAAGAGGTGTTTATTATAAGTTTAACCTATAATTCAGGGCTGGAGTTGTGCTCAAGTGGTAGAGCACCTGCCTAGGAAATGTGAAGCCCTGAGTTTAAACTCCAGTACTGCCAAAAAAAAAAAGTTTAACCTGTAATTCAGACTCCAGTGACTACCTGTGTGAGTATATAGTCCCGTAGTACCTGCCTGTGCTCAGCTCTTGCCCTGGTTAATGCTACCTGTCTCCATTCCTTCAACAGTCTGAATGAGTTCACAACCCATGGCAATGAGTTCACCACCCATGGGAGCGGAGAGAGCAGTAAGTCAACCGTGTACCCACACACCCCATTGCTACTAAAATGAGTATGGAGAAGAGGAGCTACCTTTGCTGATGCTGGGGAGGTTGGGGGTCCTCCCCTGAGTCATGACTGACTGAGTCTTTTGGGTAGCCTTGAGAGAGTGCTAGGAAAGGCATTCTTTTAAAACTATCCTTTTTGTCTTCCTCCTGCCTTCACCTTTGTTTGCCCATTGAGGGAGGAGGGTTCTAGATGTCTTGGATTCTAAGGAAGGGATGATGTTCTAATTGAAACTCAAGAAAAGGATTCTGAGCCTCAGAGCTTTGAAGGAGCCAGCTGATCCCTGACCTTCCTTAAGGCAAACCCTGGGCTGGGGGTATAGTTCTGTGGTAGAGCACTTGCCTTAATAGGCAGAAGGCTCTGGTTTGACCCCCAGCACCACAAAAGAAAAACAAAATCCTGATGTCCTTCTTCCCAATTCAGACAAGGGCCTTGGGCCCTTGCTCTGGACTGAGGTGTTGACCTTTTTACCCTTCCCACAGCCAAAACAGCCTCAGTTCGTGCCTTGCTCTTTGACATCTCTTTCCTCATGCTGTGCCATGTGGCCCAGACCTATGGCTCAGAGGTGAGTGAGAAGTGAACAGAGGGATTACGGGACACCAACCATATGGGGCAGAGGAATGAAGTAAACAATAACTCGCCCATGTCACCCTGGCACCCATTGGTCTCCCAAGCCAGTAGAATCTGTTGGCCTTAGACATGAGGTACCTGCCCTGATGTCAGTAGATGACTGGCCACATCCCAAATCCTTTCATGCTACTTTCATGCTGACCACTAGGTGGCAGCATAGCTCCCCATCTGCCTCCCTTAGACCAATTTGTCCCCAGTTCTTCAGGTGGAGAAGGGAATGGCAGTGGGGGAGGAAACTGAGGCACCTCCCCAGGTCCAGCTCTAGCCGGTACTACACCCTCCCCACTCGGTTAGCACTTCCTGTCTTTCCCAGGTGATTCTGTCCGAGGTGAGCACAGGAGCAGAGGTGCCCTTTTTTGAGACCTGGATGCAGACTTGCATGCCTGAGCCGGGCAAGATCCTGAACCCTGACCACCCCTGTTTCCGGCCTGACTCCACGAAAGTAGAGTCTTTGGTAGCCCTTCTCAACAATTCCTCGGAGATGAAGCTGGTGTTAGTGACTGGGGTGCCTACTGTAAGGGTAGTGGTGGGGGCAGAGCCAGCCTCACCCCCTATGCCCAGCCCGTACTCCCCTGTGGTGATTTTTCTCCCACCCCTAACTCTGTAGGCAGATGAAGTGGCATGAAGCTTGTCTCAGCATTTCAGCAGCCATCTTAGAAATCCTCAATGCCTGGGAAAATGGGGTTCTGGCCTTCGAGTCTATCCAGGTAGCCCCACCTTTCCATCAGCCTTCTCTTTTCCCTGAGATATGGAGCCAGTCCTTGATAGTTTGTTGTATTTAATAAGAACAGTAAAACCCTTAATCCAGAGCTCATGTTTTGGTTTTAATCTTTCCTAGAATCATAGTCTTAGCCATTCCCTCCCACCCAGATAGCTCTGGGAAAATCAAACTTGTTGTGTGGGGAAGTGGGGAGAGTAGTCTTAACCACTCTTTTCCCTCCCACAGAAAATCACAGATAATATCAAGGGAAAGGTATGCAGCCTGGCGGTGTGTGCCGTGGCTTGGCTTGTGGCCCACGTCCGGATGCTGGGGTTAGATGAGCGTGAGAAGTCGCTACAGATGATCCGTCAGCTGGCAGGGCCACTGTACAGTGAGAATACCCTGCAGTTCTACAAGGAGAGGTCAGTAATCCAGTCCCCTCTTCTCAAACCTGTAGGTGTGCCGCGAGGAGTCAGCACCTCCAGGAATCAACATCCCACTGTTCTCACCTTCCCAGACATGCTGTTCACTCACTCACTTCCTCCTTGCTCATGTCCTTCCATCCAAGTATTGACCAGCTGACCCTGCATAGCTTCCGAGATCGGGCGTGTTCAGGGTTTAGACTTTCACATTCTTTTTTTTTTCCTTCCCTACCCCTCTCTCACTCACATTCTTATTTACACATTCATTCAGCAGGCTCTGTGAATGTTTAGTGTGTCTCTGTACCAGGAATGTTTTAATTTGGCACCTTCTGTGTGCTGAAAATACAGACCCCAGATAGTACCCATTTGACTCAGGTTCTAGAGAACTACCTAAGCAGAAGCCCCTGTTGAGCTGTGAGCGCCCATCCCCAGCTGTCTTTGTGGTTATTTCATGTGCTGGTTCTTCAGGGACTTGCAGGATTTTTTTCACTGTGGCAAGAATCATGTAACAGGAAATTTATAGCATCTTAACCATGTTTAAGTGTATAGTTCAGTAGTGTGTAGTATGTTCACATTGTTGTGAAACAGTTGTCCAGAACTTTTTCATCTTGCTAATCCAAAACTGTGCTCAATAAACAACAACTTCCCTCTTCTCCCTCCCTCCAGTCCCTGGCAACCACCATGCTACTTTCTGTCCTTATGAATTTGGCTACTTTAGACACCTCATATAAGTGGAGTTAGGCAATATTTGTCTTTTCGTAACTGACTTATTTCACTAAGCATAATTTCCTTAAAATTCATTCATTTTGTATCGTGATAGGATTTCCTTTTTTTTTTTTTTGGTGGCACAGGGGTTTGAACTCAGGGCTTTGCATTTGCAAAACAGGTGATCTCCCACTTGAGCCACATCTATAGTCCATTTTACTCTGGTTATTTTGGAGATGAAGTTTCATAAACTATTTGTCCAGGCTGGCCTCAAACCTTGATCTTCCAGATCTCAGCCTCCCAAACAGTAGGATTACAGGTGTGTGCCATCAGCACCCAGAATGTAGATTGCTTCCACCTCCTCGCTGTTGTGAAGAGTCCTGCTATGGCCTTGGGTGTTCACCAGCCTGTAAGTGTTGAGGGACAACTCACAAAATAGTTGTTGAGAATGTTTTATGAGGGAGATGTGGACATATGTAGCTGAAACCACCTGCTCCCGCTTTCCCCTTCTCTTCCCTCATTCTCCTCCCACAAGTCATGGACTGTTTGCTGTGACACCATCCATCCGAAGCACACGAAGTCCTATTGGATGAAGAATTGTGGGAAATCCGTGGCTCTATCGTACAGGTGGAAAGTGGCTCTGAAAGTCAGAGCACCCTTCCCCAGCCGCCAGAACTCCAGGAGCAGCTAGGGCTCAGACCCCATCTGCCCTCGTAGCCTAAGACACTCTAGAAAAGATTCCTGGATATACTCATGTATTTGCCCCACTACCCAAGACCGGGAAGAGTCCTGTGGGGCAGCCCTTGGGCCTCTCCTGGAAGTTACAGTTTACTTTGGGAGTAGGCCAAGGCTGGGCGGGGACCCCCGAAGCACTCACCACAGGGGGAAGTGATTACATTTATTTATGACACAGTTGGCAGGACCCAGGCCTGGGGGATGGGAGAAGTTGGAGAGGGACAGGGAAGGAGAGAAAATCTGAATATATTGCTGGTACCATCTAGGGAAGGAAAGCCTCTGTCCTGTGCCTTTCAAAGGCTTTGTGCCCAGCAGGTGAAACCCTGCCTGGCCACAGAGGAGGGCTCTGTGGTTATCTCCTCCCCACCTCAGAGTAGGGTGAATTCCCAGGAGCATTTCTGTAATCCAAGTCCAGGAGAGAGTCTGGCATGTGCCCTCCTTGCTCCCCAGGGTAGTGATTATGAGCTCGATCTTGGAGCACATGTGTGCAGATGTGCTACAGCAGACAGCCACACAGATCAAGTTCCCATCTGCGGGGGTAGACACGATGCCCTACTGGAACCTGCTGCCCCCCAAGCGCCCTATCAAGGAGGTGTTGACGGATATCTTTGCCAAGGTGCTGGAGAAGGGTTGGGTGGACAGCCGCTCCATCCATATCCTCGACACCCTTCTGCACATGGGGGGTGTCTATTGGTTCTGCAACAACCTGATTAAGGTACTTGGGCTGGGGTGGCTACATGGGCTGGGGAGCAGATGTCCTCAGGCTTGGACCTGACACCTAGTCTGGTTGGCCAGGCTTCTCTGAGGCTGTTGTGAATTGAACAGTCTCCTCAGGATACAGAGGCAGGGGCCTTACCTCACAGAGGCTGGGAAGTGGGCACACACCTGCCCAGGAAGCTGGCAGGAGTGACTGGGTATCAAGAACCCCAAGGTCAGGGCCCTCAATGCCTCAGCAGCCTCTTCACCTGCCCCTCAGGAGCTGTTGAAGGAGACGCGGAAGGAGCACACACTTCAGGCAGTGGAGCTGCTCTACTCCATCTTCTGTCTGGACATGCAGCAAGTGACTCTGGTCCTGCTGGGCCACATCCTGCCTGGCCTGCTCACTGACTCCTCCAAGTGGCAGAACCTCATGGACCCTCCTGGCACTGCACTGGCCAAGTAGGAGTCTCCTTGGAGCCTTCCCAGCCCCCCCCACCCTGGACCCTGAGCACCTGCCACCCTGTCAGGCACCCTGGCCTGGTACTGCCCTGGAAAGCTGGGCTGTGGGGAGCTAGAGATGGGGCTCAATTAGTGTAGATACAGAAACCTTGTTTTGGACCCCTCCAACTAGATCCCCTTTTCCTGGAACCTTTGCTAGATTAGCTGTGTGGTGTGCCCTGAGTTCTTATTCTTCGCACAAGGGACAGGCATCTTCCCGCCAAAAGAAGAGACACCGGGAAGACATTGAGGTAGGGGCTCCTCCGTTGACTTATTCATGTGTTTATTCAGCTGACATTTTTTTTTCTTTTTTTATACTTTATTTTTATTATTGTTGTACTTGGGGTACATTGTGACATTTACAAAATTTCTTACAATATATCATAGTTGAATTCACCTCCTCCATCATTCTCCTTTACTCCCCCTCCCCCCATCAGTTGACATTTTCTGAGCATTTACTGAGAAGAGGCACCTTCCCAGGAAAACACAATGGGACATGGGCCCTATATTTGGGTCAGCTGTGTTTGGGCCTGGTTGGTCAAGGTCTTGGAGGGGCAGTTTGTTTGGGCCCCAGGCTGCCCTTGGCAAGGATCCTGTCTGCTAACTAGGGCTTGGGAAGGGAAGAGGAGAAAGGGATCAGCCTGCTGGTGATGCTGACCAGGGCTGTGGGGAGCTGACTCTTCCCCATTCAAATCAGCTCCAGTCCTCTTCACTGATAGCTGGAAATGTGGGGAATGGAGCATCACAGTGGCTCCCCTGCCCTCCAGGATTACATCAGCCTGTTCCCTGTGGAAGACATGCAGCCTTCGAAACTGATGAGACTGCTGAGCTCTAATGAGGACGACGCCAACATCCTGTCCAGTCCAAGTGAGCACATGGGAGGGCTGAAACTTTTTTGCCTGGGGTCCTGCAAGTCTCCCATACTGCCTGCCCCTAGTGACAGGTACCCAGCAGTGCCACTGACTCACTGCTCCACCTTCCTTCTTTCCCCTAAAACATGCCCTGCGGCCTAGAGCAGGCCTAGGCTGGGACCTGGGGCAACTTCCCCCTCTTCCTGTCTAGAGAGCTCCCTTCCCCACCCTGCTTCCCTGGATGCCATTATTTCCCATGTCCTCCCTTCCTCTTAAGACTTCTTCCAGGAGCTCTTTAGAGCTCATTTTTCCTTTTTCCAGAACTTTTCTTAGCCTAGAATTTTCTCTGGGGCCTTTTAGGGACTGAGAACCAACCATGTACCTGAGCAGAGAAATGATGCTGGGTCTGCCATTTACAAACCCATGACCTTTAGCTAGACCCTTTGCAAATTCAAGTCTCAGTTTCCTTATCTGTGCAATGGGACGTTGAGAGGATTCAGCACCTTTATCCATGTCAAGTGCCAAGATTGGCCCTGGTGTTGCACATGTGGCATTTGCTCTTCTCCGCATCTCTCTGCATTCAGGTCCCAATGTAGATCTTGGTCCAAGAATCTTCTCTGGGCCCTGCATGTAACCAGACACCCCTTTTGGGTAGAGGGCAGGTGTGAGCTTCTCTGTGAGAGCTGGTTCTGAGCACAGTGCCCCTCTGCCCTATCACATAGCTGACCGGTCCATGAACAGCTCCCTCTCGGCCTCCCAGCTCCACACAGTCAACATGAGGGACCCTCTGAACCGAGTGCTGGGTGAGTCCTTTCCACTGCTTTTGAGCACAACTGAGCGGGAAGGAACCCCTTCCTAAAGGGAGGCAGGGCCTCTGCTGGAAGGGTCCTCCATGGCCTCTCACCTTCCTCCATACAGCTCCCCACTCTTTCCTCCTCCTCCCTAATTCGAGCTCTCCTTCTCCCCAGGCTCCCATTTAGCCCCTTCTCTCCCATCTCCTTCCTACATTTCCTCTCTTTGGTGTCCCCACCTGAGGTGCTCTTAATACTTCTTCCTTTTCCCTTTCCAGTCCTCCCATCTCCCCAAGGCTGACTTGTTCTCATGGAAGTTTCCCCTCTCACTTCCTTCTGCACAGCCAACCTGTTCCTGCTCATTTCCTCCATCCTTGGCTCACGCACTGCTGGCCCCCACACCCAGTTTGTGCAGTGGTTTATGGAGGAGTGTGTGGACTGCCTGGAGCAGGGTAGTCGGGGCAGCATCCTACAGTTCATGCCCTTCACCACCGTGAGTACCCTGAATACACAGAGGGCAGCAGCAGGCCTTAGCAGAGGTGGGGTTCAGGGCCACCCCTCCCAAAGTGAGAGGGGCCTTCCTCCTGGAACATCACACTCCCATGAGCTCCCCTGTGTTCATCTGTCTGTCTGTGGCAGGTATCAGAATTGGTAAAGATGTCTGCCATGTCCAGCCCCAAGGTGGTTCTGGCCATCACAGACCTCAGCCTTCCTCTGGGCCGCCAGGTGGCTGCCAAAGCCATTGCTGCACTCTGAGGGCCTTGGAGTGGCAACGGGTAGCTGGGGAGGGTCACAGTCCCAGCACCTCAAAAAGAAACGGTGAAGTAAGAAGAGCCATTGTTGTTCAGAAACACGTGATGTAAGAGCCCTTCGTCACTTTGGAGATCTTTCCCTGCTTCTGACTTCTGACTTCTAACACATCACTATTTGTAATTTTCTCTCCTTTCTGCCGGTTCCTGAAGAGTATGAGCAGTCTGGGTCCTCAACCCAGGTAGTCACTCCATTCCAGGAGAAAGAAACTTTACAGAAGCATAGTATGTATAAAAGTATATTTTTGTAACCTTCTAGGGGAGTCCATCAGGACTCACTGGTCAATAAATGGCTTTGTGAATCCTGTGACTGTAAGTGCTGTGCCTGTGCTGCCTGGGTGGGGACAGTGTCTTCCCCTTGCATTCCCTTGTGCTGCAGCTGGGAGGGGCACAATCCTGTGGCGAGGAGGAGGAAGAGGTGCAGAGAGGGCAGGGCCCAGGTGCCCTTTCCATTTGTTCACTCAGGACGGGAGGGAGGGGCAGGGTGTGAGAGAGAAAGTTTCCTTCTGCGGACCCCACTGGGGATGATAAGAGTCAACACCCCCTTTGCCCCAAAGGGAGAGGTTCTGGCAAAAGGCCCCATGGTGCTGGGGCAGGGCGTCCTGTTCCCTCCTGCTGTTCATTCAGTCACACCCCACCCAGTCTGACTAGCCTGCAGTTGTATCCGTCCCTCCAGAAAAGGACAGGGGTGTGGTGGGAGCTCTCCAAGCCTGAGATTGAGGCCCTCTGGCCTCTGAGGAGCCTTGCAGGGAAGGGAATAGGAGGATAGAAGCCAGGGTACCCCAAATCCCACAGGGGCCTTCAACTGGAGGTGTGCCTCCTCCTGTTCTCTATGGCCATATCTGCATCATCTTTAGCCTAGGAAGCTGAGCTCAGCAGGAGAGCATCCTGCTGGGATGCTCACTCCTGGCCTGCGCTGAGCTCAGCTCCATGAGGGAGAGAGAAGCTAAGCCTGGAATTTGAGTTTTGACCCAACTGGTCACATCCAACTTAGCTTCCTGTCAATGAAAGGCACTTCACCATTCTGTCTTGTGGGCACCTTTGTGGATGGGCTTGGTATTACAGCAGATGGTAAAGGGACTAAGCCTTGTGCACGCTTTCAGTTCACTCTTGCTGTAGCCATCTTGCTGCATTCAACCTGGTTGGTCACCCCCAGTCCTGCCCTCTGCTCCATACCCATGATCCATCTGCTTCCTGTCTTTCCCAGGAAGCTGCAACAACTCAAGGCAGGGACCATGGGTGCCTTTTCACTGCTGAGTCTAGCACTTAGCCCAGCATCTGTGCAGAGGAGCCACCAGGTGATGTGAGCTAAAGGAACAAATGTCAATGAGCTAGAGCCCCCCTTTCCACACCTCCTCCCCTCCCTGTGGCCTCTACCACCATTCACCAGCCCCTTGCCCCTTGTACAGCACTAGCTGTACTCAGGAAGGAAGAAGGACAAGTACTGGAGACAAACACTTTTATTATCCTCAAGCGTGGTTACAATGAGAGAGTGGGGGCAGAGGTGGAGGGCACAATCAGTCTCCCTCCTCACAGTCCCCCTCGCACGATTCCCCATGTCTTTTCCCCTCTCATGTTTCCAGTCCCACCCCGACATGACCCTACAGAGAATCTCTGCCTTGGTGGGGGCGGGTCCAGGCAAGTGTCCCTAGTGCCTGAGTTCCTTGTGCTAGGAGTCAAAACCTGCTGTATGAGAAGAAAAAACTATTCCCCAGCAAATGCCAGTGCCAAGCTTTCCACCTGTGGTTGTCTGCTTCCATAGGGACTTAGTACCCCTAGGGACAGGACATGAAGAACACAGGACCTGGCTGACCAGAGCAAAGATACAAAAAAACCCAGTGGGGGAACACTGCTGTTTTTGTTTTTGTTTTTGGTGGGACTGGGGTGTGAACTCAGGGCTCCACACTTGCAAAGCATGTGCTCTACACTTGAGCCATACCTCCAGCCCTAAACACTGCTGTTTAAATATTAAACAGGGATGGCTGGTCTCCCACATGGGAGACCTCCTAATGCTCCCCAGTGTCCCAAGGAAGTTCCCTCAGGAAGGGAGCTCACTGTGGCTCTTTAGTGCCCACCACAGAGCCAGGCAGGGGAGCAGTCTCAGAATCAATACTTGGTATTTACCTATCTATCTCCCAGTCCAGAGGAAGGGAAGACAGGAGTTTTTTCTCACTGCTACAGGCAGAAGAATGAAACCCGGAGGTGGAGGGAAGGACCTTGAAGTCTGAGGCTCCATTCTCTCTTCCCTGTCTTTAAATAGTAGGCTTAAATAAGCTTATAAATATTAAATAGAGATAAATACACTGTATGAAAAGGGCTTGCTCAGGGCTCAGCTAGGTAGCGCAGAACACGATATGCCAGCCCCAGGAAGCTCTGTAGGTGGGAGGTGACCAGGACACCCCCTGCCCGGCGCTGGAAGTCTGAGGTGAAAGTTGGCATGGTGCTCTGGGTGGGCTGCACAGCAGGGGCCACCTCAAGGTCTTCCATCTGTGGGGGAAGATGAGATCAGGGATCGGACCTGCTGCGTGGGGGTCACTATAGGTGAGGAAATGCTAGGAATTGATGGGTTAGACTGAATGCTCACACTGTTAATGGAGGTGAGACTCAGGTCTATTTCAAGGTCCCAGGATACTTGCCCTCAGGTAGGGGGACAGAAGGAGGACCAACAGCAGGAGGGGCCAAATGGGAGGCAGCTCTTCATACACAGGCAACCAACAGCCAGCTTTTTGGATGCCCAAGCTTCGTGCATGACTCACCTTGACCCTCACCACAAACCCCTCCTACAAGGCTCACCTGCTGCCAGACAGTGGTGGCAAAGTTGGCAACATCCAGCTGTAGCATGTCCAAGGTGGGGGACAACTCAGGGGAAGTCCCTGCCAGAGCCTGTAGGAGGCCCTGGTAAAGGAAGAGTCCTCTGTGGAGTTGGCTCAGGCAGCCCGTCTGGGGATAGAGCAGGAGGGTTAGGAGATGCAGTGAAGGGCAGGACACCTTGCTCTTACACACTCAGGCAGAGGGTGTCGTAGCACTTCTCCTTCCTCCCGCACTGTCCCCTCCAGATACTCACCAGCTGCAGGGCCTGGCTGGAGCAGCTGCTCAGGGGAGCCCGAGGAATGCCCAGAGAGTGGCCAAGCAGTGCCAGTTCCTCGGGGTGGCACAGCTTGTAGGTGGCACACTGGGGATGGAAGGATGTTGAGGACACTTGCTGGGGCCAGTCTTCTGCTCCTTCCTGAGTCCTTCCATCTCTCTGAGCCTCCCAGCCCTCCTGCCCTCCTCTCAGGGTCCTGCCAAACTTCTTAGCTCCATTCTGCTATGCTCCCTGTGCCCTTGCCCCATGTTCTACCCTCCTGAGTGCAGGGCCTCCAGGACCTTCCTAGCACCTTCTCCATTAGAGGGTCTAAGCTGCAGCTCTTCTAATTTTCTTCCATGTTCCGGTGTCTCACTCCTCATGCCCATTCCTGATGACGTTTTCCTCACGTTCCTTTCCCATTAGTTCTCATCCTGTCCCCTTTCCCTTCAGCTCTCCCCTGGGTCTTTTTGTCTCCTTATCCCGTACAGCCTCTCACTCACCAGCTTCTCCTGCAACATGGCGCCCTGGGCCTGAATCTTCCTCACTTGCTCTGAGGACTTGAGCAGGAAGCTCCGGGGTAGGGGCAGGGAGTTGGCTGGACCCAGGGGCACGGCCTCTTGCCCCATCCAGAGTGCACTGTGCCACAGCAGCAGCTGCAGGGCTGGGAGCAGACTGGGTTCAGGATACACTTGTCACTCCAGCCTCCCTCCCACACCCTGGGCAGGTAGCCAGGACACTCACCCATCAGCTTCACAGGACTCTGAGCAACAAATTCAGCCATGGGTCTTGGGAGATCTGGGTTGCAGGCTCTGGGCTCTGTCAGGGCCCAACTGCAGAGGGGCCTTTATACATAACCCCATGAAAGCCTGGGAGGAAATTACCTGGGGTTGCGGCGACTAAGGCTTAGTAATAACTTCCCAGGATTTATGCAAATTTGGTGTCCAGGACAATGCAGGGGGTTGGGACAAAAAACTGTTTGCGAAAGTTTTGTGAAATTGTGGAATCTCTGATCATTCTTTGACGTCTTGTTCCGCTCAAACTCTCTTCCTCCCCCTCTACTCCCCCAACCCTACCCAGGCCTGAGCTGCCCCAGGGTATTTGACCAGAACAGCTGAATGTGGAAGCTGGAGCCTGGTCGTGCCTCTGGAGAAAAGGCCCCAAGAGGCTGCTTCCCTGCCTCCCATGGCAGACATGCTGGGACAGCCACCTTTGCCCTTCTCCTTTGGGATTCTCAAGCCACCTGTACCCTAGGTAAAAATTCTAAGAGCAAAAAAAGAGCCTCATTGTCCCTGTACTTATCCACCAACTCCCGGGAGGCTGCTTCCTGCAGGGGGCCAGGGACCTGAGGTAGGGTCTTCTTGCCTCCAATGCCCACCCCACAGCTGGATAGGAGCCATCCCATGTTCCGGGCTGTCCTGTCCCAAGCTGATTATCTGGGAACTCCCCAATACCCTCCCTCCCCCCCATGACTCATTTCTTTAAGCCCCCGGAATCCTGGCAGAGAAGCCAGAGGAAACCGGATATTTGTCTTGAATTAATCAGGACCCTTAGGGGCTCTTTGCTCACCTTCTACTTCCCCACACACTACCCCTGGTGCGCTACCCTTATGACAGCAGAGTCCTGAGGCTTTAGCGTTGGGAACCTGGGACATGTGGCTTTCCTGATAGTCACTGCCCCACAGAAGAGGCCGCCAGTCATAGTGCGCTGCGAAGTGGATGTGGGCTGGGGATGAGAAAGGAGAGCCCTGCAGTGATAGCCTGAAAACGACCTTGGAGTCTGTTCCAACCCTGTGAACTGGGCCAGAGAGGGAAGTACCTTGCCCAAGGTCATGAAGTTACAAACTTGGCCTCTGCCTCAGTTCCAAGTTTTCCATGGGTCACAGGCCATGGGCCTCCTCAATCTGACTGACCACACCCCAGGCTGTCACTTTCTAAACTAATTTATTCCTCCCCTGCCCTTTGGTGTCTAGGAATAGACTGCTCTGGATGCAGAGTACAGCTGACTGGGTGGGGCCATCTCTGGGCCTGGGGTGCCCTCTGGTGGTCATAGCAAGCAGGGATGCCACCTGCATCAGGTGTTCTGACTCACTGTCCCTCAGTGCCCCTGGCTGTACCTCAGAGAGGCAGGTGCTTGGCTCCTGGGCAGTGCAGGGTGGGTTTGACAGAACTGCGGAGGGCAAGGAGATCCATGTTTTTAAACAGGTTGCCTGGAGACTACTCTTACATGTCAGGTACCTTTCATTATGCTGTGTGTGTGTGTGTGCATGGTGCTGGGGTCATTGTGCTTTTGTCATTTTGTCCTATCAACCAACTGTTGTGGGTTGTAGATGAGGGGAGGAGGCCTCAGTGAAGTGAAGGACTCATCCAAGGTTGCAGAACTAGTTGGTGGCAGAGCCAGGCAGGATTTGTAGGTGGGTGGTCTTCCCAAGCCCCTGGTGTCCCATGGCACTGCCTTCCCATGCAAGGCTCTGGTCCCACCCAGGGGAGAACAAAGACCAAAAAGAGCAAGGGCTTGCTTCTAGCCATGCCACATGGGCTGAGCTAGACTGGAAGCTCAGAGGATAGTCATCTGTGAAGGGACCTGGCTCCAGAGACTGCTGTTATTCATCCTTGGGAATTCCCGAATGCTCTCTAGATTTTTTTTTAAATTGAATACACAGCCCTGTGCTTACGAGGCACATGCTCTACCACTAAGCAATGTCCCTGCTCACTCCCAGGTATTTGTTCTTTTGGTAGTACTGGAGTTTGAACTCAGGACATTAGGCTTGCTAGGCAGGCACTCTACTACTTGAGCCACACTTCCTGTCCTTTTTTGTGTTGGGTATTTTTGAGATACGGTCTTGCTATTTGCCTGGGCTGGCTTTGAACCTTGAATCATGAACCTCCTGATCTCAGCATCCCAAGTAGTTAGGATTACAGGCATGAGCCATTTGGTGACTGATTCAGGTAGTTCTTAAATCAGAACCCCTGGCAACTTCCCCTCACACTTCTTTTCCATCTGGTGCTGGGCTTAGGGAATCTATATAAGGGACCTATAAGCTGGGTGCCAGTGGCTCATGCCTGTAATCTTAGCTACTCAGGAGGCTGAGATCAGGAGGATCATGGTTCAAAGCTGTCCAGGTAAATAGTTTGAGAGACCCTATCTTGAAAACACGCATCACAGACACTACAAAAAAAGGGGGGCTGGCAGAGTGGCTCAAGGTGTAGGCCCTGAGTTCAAATCCCAATACCTCAAGAATAAATAAATAAATTATAAAAAAATAAGGTACCTAGAGTAACTCCCGTTGCCTGCTGGGAGAGTCTAATTATAAAACCTCCTTGGAGGGCAGCTTGGTGGGACACAGATGAGGTGGAAATGAGCATATCTTATTACCAAGTAATTCTACTTCTCAGATATGATTTAGAGCAAGGGCAGGAAAATGAAGCTTCTGGACTGAGGCATGCACACCCCAAGTTAAGATTGGCTTATTTATTTTTAAATGGTTAGGAAAAAACCCAAAAGAATATTTTATGACATGCAAAATCATTTGAAATTTAAATTCCCGTGTCCAGCTTGGCACCACTGACTCACACCTGTAATCCTAGCTACTCAGGAGGCAGAGATCAGGAGGATCTCAGTTCAAAGCCAGCCCCAGGGAAACAGTTCTCAAGACCCTAACATGAAAATACCCATCACAAAAAAGGTGGAGTGGCTTAAGCGGTAAGAGCACATACCTAGCAAGCATGAAGTCCTGAGTTCAAACCCAACCGTTGCCAAAATAAATAAATAAATAAAGATTGCAGTGTCCAAAAGTAATTCCTTTATGTATTGCTTACAGCAACTTACATGCTAGCAAGGCAGAAATGAGTAGTTGTGACAGAGACTGTGTGGCCCACAAGTCTAAAATATTTGCCATCTGTTCCTTAGAGTTTGCAAACTATGTTCAGTTTCCTCTGAATCCTGGGCTCTATATCTGGGAATTCAAACCACCTCAAACTGAAAATATTTGGAAAAAAATAAAGTCCATACTGAACATATACAGACTTCCTTTTTCTGGTCCCTAAACAATATAATGTAGCAACTATTTCCATAGCTTGTCCATGGTACTAGATACGACTGTTCAGAGATGATTTAAAATATGCAGGAGGATGTATGAAGTCCTGTGCAAATAATACACCATTTTATGTGAAGATTTGAGCATCCTCTGATTTTGGTATCCACAGAGGTCCTGGAACCAATAATCCTCCACAGTGACAGAGGGACGACTGAGCAACTGTGCATGGCATGTATGGATGGGAAGATGGATACAAAGATGGTCTTTGTAGTAACAGCAAACCAGTGGAAACATGTTTAAATGCCCTTCAGCAGGGAAATGGCTAAATTGTGTTCCCTTGGCCCCACATATGCCTCCCTGCCTCCACCAAGAAGGGTTTTTTTTGTTGTTGTTTTTGGAGGTTCCGGGGTTTGAACTCAGGGCTTACACCTTGAGCCACTCCACCAGCCCAAAGTGTTTTTTCAAAATGGGGTCTTGCAAACTATTTGTCTGGGCTGGCTTCGAACCTCAGTCCTCCTGATCTCTGCCTCCTGAGTAGCTAGGATTACAGGCTTGAGCCACTGGCGCCTAACTAGGGGCTGGCTTTTACTCAGTTATATTCTCAGAGCTGAGCATGGTCAGATTTCAGAACAATATTGAGCAAAAATAGTGAGTTACATCTGTGACACACCATCTACAAACACTTAATATCTCAGTATGCTTTCTATAGTAAAAGTATAAAAACAAACTGGAAGATCACTCACAGAATTCATAGGAGTGGCTGCCTCTGGGAAGGAAACAAGATGGAGTTCCAACTTATCTGTAATGTTGTATTTCTTTGTTAATTAAAACACATCACACAGCCAGGTGTGATGGTGCACCCCTGTAATCTCAGCACTCAGGAGGCAGATGAAGGAGGATTTTGAGTTGGAGGACAGTCTGGACTATATAGTGAGACCTTATCTTAAAAGAACAAAATAACTGGATGCACTGCCTGTAATCCTAGCTACTTAGGAGGCAGAAATCAGGACAATCTTGATTCGAAGCAAGCCCAGGCAAACAGTTTGAGAGACCCTATCTTGAAAAAAACCCTTCATACACAGGAAAAAAAAAAAGGGCAGAGTGGCTCAAGGTGAAGGCCCTGAGTTCAAACCCCAGTACTGCAAAAAACCCAAAAAACCAAAAACCAAAAAACCCAAGCCAGGCGCCAGTGGCTCACACTTGCAATCCTAGCTACTTGGGAGGCTGAGATTGGGAGGATCACAGTTCAAGGCCAGCCCAGGCAAATAGTTTGTAAGACCCAATCTCCAAATTAACCAGAGCAAAATGGACTGAAGTTGTAACTCAAGTGTAGAGCATCTGCTTTGCAAATGTGAAGCCCTGAGTTTAAACCTAGTTCAAAAAAAAAAAAATCATGCAACAATGAATGGTTAACATTGATTAATGGGAAGTGGAGATCAGGAGGATCAAGGTTCAAGGCCAGCCAGGGCAAAGTTTGGGAGACCCCATCTCAACCAATAAAAAGCTGGGCATGGTAGCACACCTATCATACCAGGTACTGGGAAGCATAACTGGTGACCACCTCAGCCTAACTTTTGTATTTCTATGTAGTTTTTAAATAAAAAGAAACAACAACTAGGAGGTAGAAAATAGTGAACTCTCCAAGGAAGTAAAAAGTCAAATCAATGGAGAGGAATTACAAGAAACTTTCACAGTGAAAAGACAGAAAAGTGCCCAGACTTAAGGAGGGAGAGAACCAGGAAATCCTG